ATTCGACCTAATTATAGCTGGAGTCTTAGGCGCATTTTGAAACTTCGATTGAAGGCCTTTCCTTTTCTTACTGCTGGATCTGTTAAAGCGAAGGAAATCTGGGATTCTTTACGAGAAAGACATCCTCTTGTCCCTTGGCAGAAAATCATTTGGTTTCCTCTTCATATCCCCAAATATAGCTTGATCAATTGGATGGCTCTGCTTGATCCTCTCCCTACGAAAGTTAGACTCCTCCGAATGGGTCTATATCTTATTGTAAATGCAATTTCTGTGATAATCTATTTGAAACTAGGGAGCACATGTTTTTCCAATGTTCTATGGCTAATCAACTATGGCATACCATCTTATCTCATGTTGGTCTTACCTTTAAATTTAGCTCATGGGATGCTCTTTTAATGTGGATCTGTTCCACTTGGAAGGGAAAATCCTTGCTTACTTCCATCATGAAGCTTTCTTTCTCTACTCTTCTCTACACACTATGGGATGAACGCAATAAAAGCTAGTTCCAAAACCGTTCCAGATCTGCCCAAGACCTTTTCCATGCCATTAAGGAGAATGTGAGGTTACAATTGAGGGATAGGTCTATAAATATGAATGACAATGTTAATGTCACTCTTGTTGAACATTGGGAAATTTTTTGATTTGATTCTTCTGTAAGTAGTCTCCTTTTGTTTTCAGAACTTTGAGGTTTTTGTAATATGTTTCTGTTATTGGGTAATCAAATTTTGAATTATCCAAAAAAATAATTAAAAGTATAGTCAGTTCGATTCAATTTAGTTTTTCTAATAAAAGATGAATTGTATCATATCGTATAATTTCTAAAAATAAAATCAAAATCAAATGATATAAAAACTTAAATTTTTGGTTTAGTTTGGTTCGATTCAATTTTATAATTTTTAACTATTTATCATTTTTTAAACTCAACATTCAAAAAATCGTAAACTTTAAGCTTAAGTCAAATGCGTAACACAAGTTTAAATTTACAAAAAAAATGATATTATTTCATTTTATGAGTTTATTTATTTAAGTTTATCTTATAACAAATTCAAAATTGATTTGATTTCAATCATTGTTTTTTTTTTTAATTCGATTGAATTATAAAATCAGATGTCTAAACTGAACTAAAATCAAACCCTATAATATGATTCGAATTATTTGTGTTAATTACATCATATGTCCCCAAACTATAACCCTCATTTTAAATTGATCCTTAAACTTTTAAATGCTCCAATTTCATCCCCAAACTATGACTCTCATTATAAATTAATCCTTAAAAATTTGAATGTTCTATTTTCATTCCTAAACTATGACCCTTTTTCTAATTTGGTCCCCAAACTTTTGAATATTTAAATTCATCCAAATATGTAATTGATTTCAACTATAATTTTTTTCAAACATATAATAATATAACTTGGCCTAACAATTTTATTATTAAGAGATGTGATCAGTATATTCGTAAAGTTTGGGATGGAATTGGAATGTTCAAAAAGTTTAGGGAATAATTTAGAATGAAGGTCATAATTTGGGGATGCAACTAAAATGTTCAAAAGTTTGAGGATTAATTTATAATTATGATCGTAGTTTAGGAATGAAATAGAAACATTTAAAATTTTAAGGACTAATGTAAAATAAAGATCATGTTTTGAGGACATATGATACATTCAAATTTTTTTTTTCAATTTTCTAGCATTCCTTGCAGCCAATATTATCCCTTATCTTCAGACATTTTGTTGTCCATCATTACCATCTAAATTGGGAAAAAAAAGGAAACAAGCATTTTATCATTTTTTGGGCTTCTTTTAATTTCTCTCGTAGATTTTCCTAAACGATCATGGCGGGATCTGCAACAATCAATGTCTCATGAGCTATGTAACCCCCAAACCGATACGGGTAACCAGATCCGATCCGGGGTGTCACATTAGGGCCACCGGAACAACCCATCGTAAAAATAGCAGAAATTTTAAAACTTTTCTTAAAACATGTTAAATCATAAAATGATTTATTATTATTCCGAAATAAAACTGGTTTTTCAAACTCAGATATAAAACAAAATATAATTACATGCCCCCTAATCACATGTACCATACTCTGCAAGCAACGCCAGAAGAACTCCCTTACTGATGTTGATAGTTGTACTGGTACAATCTTTTAACCTGCAATGGTGAATAATAGAGTGAGCTTCGAAAAGCTCAGTAATACAGAACTACCAGATGATGCTACAAGACATGCAGATAAATGGAAAACCATAATTTCCTTATTGAATCAAACGTATACCAATTGCGGAATAATCTGGGGTTTCATTAGTAGTTCATCAAGTAGAAGCCATGAATCTCAGTTCATAAGAAACATTCCATACAGTCACGTTTTCATGAGGTCGAATAGGATGTCAAGTGTGTTCCATCAGTATGATAAAATCATAATAGATACACTAATCAAATGATGGTTCAGTAAATCCCATAAACCATATTGTAGTATAGCTTTTTAAACTCGTGTTTTCAAAACCATCGTACAAAAAGTTAACCTAAGGGAACATCTTAGGGTGTGAGAGCCTACCCAAGAAAGTTCGAGGGCCGTGGAGACTACCTAAGAACACATCTTAGGGCCGCAGAGCCTTTCTAAGAGTCACATTAGGTCCATAAAAATTTTCCCAGCTTGATCAGAGCTGTACTTTACAAATCTGTATCTCCAAGATACATTTTATACAATGATACAAATCCATAAGCCATCACCGTTAAGTCGGTGCATCCATAAAACAGTAACCATAGATTTCAGTGTACCACATGTTAAAACAATAAAGCGATTTTTCAAAATATAAGGAACACACTAGAGAATCCAAATATATTTTAGATGCATTTTGTAGTTATCAATATGGATAACATGAACTTGTGCAATCGGATTCCATGAATAAGATCTTATTGAAGAGAATCGATTTCTAACCGGTCTAATCAGACATTTCAGATTGATACTTTAGAATTCCACTACGTTTCCATGTGCATCAGGAAACGTTCAGGAACCTTTATACATAATAATTCTAAATTCAGATTTATTGCGAGTGATTCCATTACCCAAACAATCAGGGGTATTCAGGAATATACTTTGAATTCATAGGATTTCAGCCCAATTGAACCAAATGAGGTATTCATAATATTTTTCTTCTACGTTACTTGTGTTTTCAAACATTACCAAAGTGATTTTAGATGAAAATATAGAATCGAAGATTCAAGTCATTTACAATCTATGACTATCAATCGTATTATCAAACAACTCGAGTTACACAACTCCCAAACTGATACATGACAACAAGTCAATTCATTATCCTTCCAGTGTATTCACTCTTTAATACCATAATGCAGATCCATATATCATCCCCATAATCATCACTGAATAGATCTTCCAACGGTCTTTATTTTATTTTCACGTTTCAACGATATCAGGAAATATGGATGTACATGATTCATGGTTCATAACCCATAAGGACAATTCATCATGTAAGTTCAAGAGTGTTTTCAAACTCATCCAATCACCTATTTACTCCTCAGTCATTGAGGTTACTTAGTTCGTTTAGTAAGCAAGTCTATCTCGGTTACTTTAGTGTTTTCCAGAATAATTCAGACATTTCTGAATTTCAAATACATGTTGTATTTCCTTTCAGTTCATTTAGTCATATAATAAAGTCATTCTGGTATTCGTGGTTGATTTGTCTCACGAATACCTACTTATTAGTATTGTATTCGCTCTAGAGTTGAGCTGAGCCAAGTACTTCCAGAATTATCATCGCTCCAAATTTGAGAAGACGAACAAACATTCAAGTGGTACCTATATCATTCAGGTAATGATATAGCACTAGCGTTGGTTGATCACTTAAGTTGCGTTCCATAATTTTTACTGGTAGCACAACATCCATGTTTATTTGTATTTCTTAATTAATCCAAGACATTTACTTATTATAGGTCATAAGGGTATTTTGGTGCTCAGTTTTATTCCATTCATTTCAGAGCTCAAGGGTATTCAATCATTCCTGAGCTTGGTGAAATTCTTGGTCATTTGCATACCAGGGGTATTTTGGTCATTTCCATATTAGGAGTATTTTGGTCATTTTACAAATCCATTGTATTACAATCATTTCCTTCTATCCGATCTTATTATTAAATTTAAACTTATCATTTACTTCAATCCTTTCAAACAATTCTGAAAAAAGAACATCATTGATAAATCATTCTTCAGGTATTTACTTATAACTCCGATATTTTTGGGTCAAGTGTCTTCTCAGATTTTACAAACGGAATATCATGAATTTTTCTACACAAAGACAAGATCTTAATAATTAAATTCGTACTTAATCGAGTTAAGTACAAATTCTCAAAGTATTTTCTCCTTCAGGGTCAACTCGGATTATTTTACCTCTCAAGGCATTTTCGTAATTTCTTAACCAGATAATTTTCGATATTAGCTCTTAACGAAAATAATTATAATTTAAAGATCCTATGGTCAATTGCTTTCCCGAACATTCTCTGATCTTTAAATTATTCCTTAATAAACTTCTAGCATATTGCACAAACCCTTTTTGGCGTTAAAAACCAGTTATCCAAATTTTCTAAACAAAATCATTATTTCTTATGCACATCTGTAATTATACTGGATCAATATATCTGAAATTTCAGAGTTATTAACCAACTTCCAGGGATAATTCTTGTTATCCTACAACATAAGGGTATTTTCGTAATTTTTCACAGTATTCTCATAATTTCATCATCCAAGTACCTTTATAGAGATAAATTATAATTCACATAGTCAGGACTGATTCCTTTATCACTCAATCACATAACTTGTAATTCAAGAGAGTCTTAACTAATTTATCACTTAAATTGTATTCGGTTCGAATCCATCCATAATCAAACAGACATGATAGACCAATCATATATATGTCCATGCATTTATCCATTATCAACATGTTCCATGAAGCATAAAGAGGTAGTAATGTATTACCTCGATTTTCGTGTTATACTGATCAACCATTTAAATTTCATTCGATCGCCCTCGAACTTGAACTCAACTTCCAATAATTCCTCGGATGCAAAACAACCGAATTTACATCAGAAACTAGACTTGAATTTAAAACCATATTGAATCTGAATATAAGACATTGAAAAGGGCTTACACGTACGGATGGATCGAGAGGTATTTGGTCGAGCTTCTAATTTTTCTCTCACGTATCCTCAGCATCACATATACGAACTCGATTCCCAACATAATTGGCCTTGTCATAAATTAACTTTAAATAATAATTTGAGGACCTAAATCATAAAACTAAAAACTAATAGTGCTACTATAATATTTAATTACTAAAATCAGGGCTAAAACGAACTAATCTAAACTAATCTAAACTAATCTAAACTATCAAAACTTTGCTATAACTATACTAAAACATGATGACAAAATCAGAATCTTACCAAAAATATAGGACTCAAATTGTGATTTGGCCATCTCCATTTCCAAAACCACGTGCCTTCCAAATAAAATTTGAAACAATTATGACATAATCATAATAATTTGGAAGTTATAAAAATAGTTTAAGCTTTTAGCAAACTTGGATGACTTACTTTGTAATTTACCTGTTCTCACTTTAATAACAACCCAAACCACGTGTTGCTCCCTTTTCACTTTCATTTTCAATTCTTTTTTTTCCCTTTAGGGTCTCGGTCGAACCATAGGAGGAAGGGGAAGAGCGTTCCGACGTGATTAGTAGGCCGTTTGAGCTTCCTTGGTCAGCTTTGAGGGCGTGGGGGTTGAAGTTGGCCACCGTTTCGTGGTGGTCGTGGTGTTCTTCATCCCCCTCGGTTTTCCTTGTTTGGTTGAGCGATGAGGAGTTAGTGAGAAACGGGTGGTTGTTTAGGTCCTTAGGACCCTAGGTTGACGTTCACCGGCTGTTAGGACGCCAGTCGAGGGGGAATCGCCACTGTAGGAGCGATGATCGGGTGGCTCGTTCGAATATTGCTAAAGCTTCGTGAGGTCTCGGTCGTCTGCTGAGAAAGGAGTGTACGAGGATTATAGTTTTGGAGGTTTTGTTTAATGATAAAGTTTTTCTCTGCACAGGAAGAAGATATCAAGAAGATAAGGAGTGGTTGATTGGTTTCCTTCACTTGTGATCTCCATTTTCCATATTATAAAATTAATAATAATAAACAAATTCACATCACTCACATCTTTGCTTGGATTCATCTGTTCCATTATTAATGGTTTGATTTCTTTATCATTTTTTCTCTTTTACGTGCCTCTTTTTATCCTTAGATAATTAACATAAGCTACACGTATATGATACAAAGTCTTCATGTTTGATTTTTTTATATATATATTTTTTTCAATTATGGAATGCTAACCAACTTCATATCATTTCACATATTTTAATTGAAAGAAATCTAATTTCATATTGAAGTGTGACAAGCTACTTCTACTTCCATTTTCCCTTTTTATGTTCACTTAAATTTTCTTCGAAATCATTGCTTCTTCTTCCCATGCGTTTTCCTCCCAAACTATTTTCCCCTCCCAAATTTGCTAATACTTTATTTTCCAGATTTCCCATTTCATTTTATGTGTAATTTTAACCTTTATCAAAATTCACATTTTTCAATAATGTATTTTAACTTGGTTGTAGGGATTTACGTTCTGTCTAGTGATGATATCAAAATGGGAACTAACCTTGAAGTTGATGGAGATCCTTGGCGAATTTTGGGTGGCTTTATATATATATACTTAATTAATTTTAGACAGGTAAATCGAAAATTGTTAATAATTTTAAGTTTTTAAGAAATTTATAAACGTGTCATGTGTCAAACAATGATTGCTTGACTGATTTTTTAATAAAATTATTTAACGACCATTACGGCTGAGAGTTAGACACTTAAATTGACAAAAAATAGTTTAGGCGCCTAACTGAGAAAAGATATATAGTTTAGGAATTTTTTTATTAAGCCTTTACAATTGAAACTAGATAACAATGTTACTTGCGAAACAAGTTGTTTCACTTTCGAATATAATGTTGTTTTGTGTCAAGGATAAAATAAGAATATGTTGGAATAGGAAGGGTCCTTACGCTTTGGTAGCATGTTGTTCTTTTGTTTCAAATCAAAAACCAAATCTTCATATAATGCTTGTGTTTTACAGATTGATGACCCAAATATTCACGCACTCATTGGATGGCATTGATAAATGAATTCTATAATTTATAACTTTGTTAGCCATCTATTGACAATTTGAGCAAATACCATATGTTATGTAGCTACTTGTATTCATTCACGTATTCGGTCACAATTGAGGACTTAATCATAAATAAAACAACCATAGAAGTAATAATATAAGCTATACATAAATGAAGGACTATTTAGATAATTTTAGTCATTTTAGATTATTTGTATCAATATCAAAATATGGATATCGATATTGCATGAACAATATACGTTGAAAGATTATCTATTCTTTGACAATAAAGGTTTATATTCCTCTACATACGCAGTGCTCAAGCCTAGAACATTAAGGAATAAAAACAAAATTTTTAACTATTGATATCACTATGTTCATAGATTAGTTAAGCAAGTTTATTACTCAATAATATAATTTAGTCCAAAGATTCATTTGCCACATTTAAATATACATATTTATTTTAAAATTATCATGATCATGCATCTTATCACTAAGATCAAAGTTTAAATACACAATATATCTTCACATTGAACGTGACACGTGGAATTTGTTTTAGGTTAATCAGATTGTGAAGTGTAAGCACCGAGAAATATTAACGATTTTATTAGAATATTATAATTCGTAAAACAGTTTTTTTAAAATTATTTTTACAACTTAAAAATAAACGACGGACTTTTATATATATATTTTTTAATTTTTACTTTTAAAATTATTATTTTTTAAATATTATGAAAGTATAATATAAAATTTTAATTTATAATTAAAGTATTAACTTAGATATAGTTGATCAATTTAGTGTATAATATAATTTTTAATAATATTTAATAACACATTATCCATTTTATAATAAAATTAAAATTTCAATGTTCTTTTATAAATTTTAAAAATTAAAGAAACAAAAAATCATTTTCACATAAGGGATGGAAGCAAGTAAACACGAGTAAAGATATATTCAACGTTTGTTCGTTTAACTTTAACAAAACAAACACAAATAACTAAACATATAATTTTTTTGTTCGTGTTAGTTCGTTAAAGAGTATAATATGTTTGTGCTTTTTTATGTTCGTTTATTAAAATGATAAATGAACACAAACGAACGTAAATAAATATAAATATAAATATACATAAATTTAAATGTTTTTGGTTTGTTTTTCAATCTAATATGAAATGAAAGAGATAATGAGCTGATAGGTGAGAAATATATAATAAATAAACGAACCAATTCTTTGTTCGTATATGTTTATTTAATTAAATTAATAAAATTATTCATTTAATAAATAAATGAAAAGATTAGTTGAACCTTCGGTTTATTTACAATACTAGACGCGAGCGTTGAATCGAATCTTATAAAATCAAGTTTTATTTTTACAAAAACATTAAGTTCAAACCAGATCGAAATTTTTTAAGCATAAACAGTGAGAAACCTTCCACAACCATCGTTCCATTCCCAGCTCAATCCTCGTCGTTGTCGTCACCAATGTCACTATTTGTTCCTAAAAGTTTAACCTCACTTCGTCAAACTTAATCTTTGCCGTCTTTCTGAAGCTAAATTTTGTTCCCCTTTTTTAAAATTCTGATTCGTCGCTAGTTAATTAAGGGTTGGCTAATTTTGCTCGGAGACTTTTTTATTCAACGGAGTAACTGATTCTATGAATATCATGTCCGCCTAAATCAGTTTTGTCAATTTCCAGATCTCATTCTTCGAAACAAACAAACCCAAAAGACTATTAAGAGGGTGATGGATAGAAATGCAATTACGACAGCGATTTTGGTGTTCTTAGTCGTCGCCGATGTTTCCGATGCTTATCCGTTTTGGAAGTTTCGATTCTTAGCCGATGAATCTTCAACGAAGAACGACACGACCGCCGCAATGCCGCCAGTAATTTCTCCTTCCTTCTCCCTATCTATCTCAATAATTTATTTTAGTTACCATTGTCGTTTTTGTTTCATTCTTCTGGAATTTAGTGTTTAATAAAAATTACTTATTGTTGGGACTTTAGAGTTCTCAATCGCCAACCAAGAAATTGGATCCAGAACCGGATGGTCAATCGAATTTGGATCCGAATCCGTTGAATAAAACGGATTCCGTAATTCAACCTCCTGTGGACAAGAAGGATCTTAAACTATCAGATCAACCCGGGAAAGTGATTCCACCTTCTCCCCAAAAGGGAACAGATAGTGGAACCAATTCGAATTCAACTTTAAATTCGACAAATGTTAAACCAAAGGAGGATAACGAGGAGAAGAAAAATAATGCAAGTAGTAGAAACAATTCAACTTCAAATTCCACCAATGATAAAGCATTGAAGGCTAAAGAGGAGAAGAAAGAGAATACAGATACTGGAAAGAAACCAAATAGCACGGGGACTGAACAAGCAGATGTGTTAGAGGAGGAGAAGAAAAATAATGCAAGTAGTAGAAACAATTCAACTTCAAATTCCACCAATGATAAAGCATTGAAGGCTAAAGAGGAGAAGAAAGAGAATACAGATACTGGAAAGAAACCAAATAGCACGGGGACTGAACAAGCAGATGTGTTAGAGGAGGATAAGAATAAGAAGAAGCCGACTGAGGATGGAAATGAGACTCAGTCAGGGATTGCCGAGACATGTGATGGGGTAGCTAACAGCTGCAAAGACAGCAACTCGTTGACTGCATGCATTAAAGGGTTTGAAGCTGGTAATTTACATTGCTTTTTAAGCCTTTATGAATTGTATATTAGGATGCTAGAGTGGATTTCTAAGAAATAGAAATTGATTTAATGCTTACATGTAATTTTAAATGAGCTAATGATTTTGTGCTGTTGCTTTTATTAGAGAAATACCATGCATATATTCATTACTTAAGTGGAGTTGAGTATGCATTAGCTGCCTAGTAGAGTATCTATGTGCAATGAAGCTTAACACCTGTATTTGTTTTTATTCTTTAAATTTGAGCATAAATGTGCCTAGGATTGTTGCATTTTTAGAACATGTTTGAAAATAGGGTTATGAACTGTTCCATGACTATCTAAAAATTCATGGACTTGGGTACATGGCTAGGGTGTCTATTTATAAATGTTAAATCTGCTGGATTAATTAAAAGAAGTTTAGCACAGTGAACAACTTTATGGATGACAGCTTCCTTATAACTGTTGCTTGAAATGGAAATAAAGAACGGGAATCTGATTGTTAGGTAGGTGTTGCTGGTGATTAAATTCTTATGAATATGTATAGAAGGTAAATGGTTAGGAATGGCACATTGATGTATTTGGTTACCAATATTGATAATGCAATTCTAGGGTTAATTTCCAGCAGTATCCTTTTGTTGAAAACATATTCAGAAAGAAACAATGCACGAGTCCATATAATATAGTAGTGCAATTAGCGTAAGCTTTTTTTAGCTCAGTTATAATTAAATTATAATCTTCATCTATTCATCTATTTGTATGAGGGTGCGTGTATGCTAGGTGACAGAAAATTTTGAGAACACAATTTCCAAATCATCGAGTGGTTTTAAGTGAACAGTTATTTAGGGATAGAAATATAAATTATTTGGTTTCTTTGTATGAGGCTTCTGTGTTAAGAAATGGATCTCAGTATAGATATTAATTTAAACTGTGCATTTAATCAGCTCGATTCCTTTTCAGTTTTCTTGCCTAATTGTACAAAATGAGGAACATAGTGAACTTGTTTTCATGTATTGTTGCTTGTTGGCATTGTAGAATTCATAAAGTAGCATAGTGGTATATTTCCTGATGACAAGCAATATGTTTGATTTCCATTTTCCTTTCCAGGGTCCAAACATCGGGTTGTTCTGGTCCATAATAGTGGAGGAAAAAATTTGAAAGTCAATGTTGTTGGCCCTTCTGGGGAATCTTTTGTGAAGGGACTTAAAGTACCAAAACATGAAACTCAAAAAGTATGGTATTTTCTTTATATTATACTTTGTCATTTTTTTCTCATACGATAGGGACATAATTAGATCTATGTTATGTAGGAATATGATTCACATAAAATTTGAAATTGGTCTTAAGCCAGTGGCTATCTAAACAAAAGATGAAGTTATCGATTATCTTTCAATTCATTGATTGTACCGAGCTGTTAAATTAGGCATGAAGTGTATCATTTGATTACTTTTAGGAAGAATACTTGCATTAGGGCATAATGAGGCATAAGTTGAAATTTAAATTGTGGTGACAAAATTGTTATCTTTAATCTGCCTAGGTTTGAGGACATTTAGTAAATCATTGTTAAGTAATAAACAAAAAGGGGAAAACATGAACTTTTTTTCTTCCGTATATTGTTGACATCTTTGGGCCTTTAGCGTACTTTGAAGGATTAATTGATTTCATACCAAGACCAATTGGTAACTAGTATAGGAAAAGAACAACACCCCCAACTTCACCAACAAAACTTTCTCAGCTGTTGTGGATTAACAGCACGTAATACTCCCTTTACTAGTAGCCGCCAAATACTAATAGATGAACTTTCTTTTTTGAATGGCGCATAAGAGGGAAATCAGCAAACAACATAGCATATCTGGCAAATATAAGTACAATTTTGGATCTAATTTCATGCTAAGCTCCTAAAATCAATTTTGCTAACAAATCAAGAGGTCAAACAGGAATGTAAATGCACTTCAAATCCATGTTAAGCTCCTAAAATCAATGTTGCTAACAAATCAATATTGGGTTGGTGGTTTACTATATTGTTTTGAGTAACTTCAGTTCACAAGGGATGAAAATAGATACTCTGACCCTGAACAATGTTCCAATAACTGTCCATGCTTAGTAACTGTATATCTTATCATGCGCTTTTTTGTATCTAGAGTTTATATGCATTTTCATAATTGTTTTCAGGTCAATATATCTTTGACTATTAGCGAAACCGGTGAGCTATTGGTAAGTGCTGAAAATGGAAACTGTGTTCTACTCATGAACCCTCTTGCATCCAAGGGGAACCCTTTCTTAAACCTTCCTTCTTATGACAAGTTGCTGACTCCGGTAAATGGAGCATACTTCTTGATTGCAACAGTTTTAGTTTTCGGAGGGTCTTTGGCTTGTTGTATGTTTAAGAAGAAGAGTCAGCATGACAGTATACCTTACCAAGAGCTAGAAATGGGATTACCAGAATCCATGGCAGCGACTGAAGTAGAAACAGCTGAAGGTTGGGACCAGGGTTGGGATAGTGATTGGGATGAGGACAAGGCAGTGAAATCACCAATGGGCCGACGCAATGTACCGAATATCTCAGCAAATGGGCTAACTACGAGATCATCAAACAGGGATGGCTGGGAAAATGACTGGGATGATTAGACTTTTTTGACAAGGGGAAAAGAAAAGGTAAGAAAGTGCATCAGTTGAAGTCGTAGGAGAGAAGGAAAAGGAATAGATAATACAAAGAACAGTTGACTGATATAGAAACTGTAAATTGGCCCACACAGTTGTGATGTTATGGTTAACGGTCATCATGGTTATAGCAAGTCCTCAAAGGAGCGTATATGTTTTATCTGCCATTTATGATTGGTGATGAAGCTGTTTGAGTTTGCTAATAAAGTTGTAGGTTTTGTTTGTAGAGGAGGTGAGTATTCATTTATTTGGTATTTGAGGTTCGTAAGGATTGAAGTTGATCTCTAAATAGTGAGAATATTATATTTGAAGACAACACAATTAAGCATAATTGTTGTTTCATGTATTTTTTTGGGGAACAAAATGAAAAGCTGAAAGAATCATATAGTTGTGTAGTATGTATGAATTGGGCCGTAGATTCCAACAAATAACCAAAATTAATGATGAAAAATTAAATTTAGTTTTAAAGTTTAAATTGGTAGTGATAATTTTTTTTTATCTACATTGATACTTTAAAACTTAAACCGCGAATCTTTAATTTAGGGTAAATTACGTATTTAGTCATCTAATTATTCATACGATTTTGTTTTGATCATCAATTTTTCTTTTAAAATCATCACTAAACTTATGTTTTATTTTTCTTTTGGTCATTCGTCATTAAGAAATTAATAGTTATGTTGATGTGTCACCATAAATTAATACCATAAGTTGCGTTTTATGAATGATTTATGTTCATGCAAGTATTATTAAGTTAAGAATATTGAATAAATGTTAAATATAAATGCATGTTACAAAGATATGAAAGCATGTATGCTATGATATCATGAAAACATACATGACATAAATAGTAAAATACAAGCCAAAGTATGGATATGATACGAGAAGGTGTGCTTTGTGTATGATTGTGATTATATGTGGAAATTAACACAAAAAATGGATTATGGATATGGATTATATGAAAAATGTGATTAGTTCATGAAAGTATTTTTATTATTTGAGATTATAAATAATACATAATTAATATGAATTCATGACATGTGGTTATAAAAGATAAAATGATATCATGAGAGAATAAATGATTATGATATATGTTATGATGTTACATGATAATGTATAAAATGTATAGTGTACATGTTCATGATATGCAAATGATGTTAAGAATGACAATGATTAATGACGTTATGAATAATAAATAAATAAAGTTTTATGCTATTTCATGTCTTATGTTAATGTTCTATGTTTAATTATTACATTATTAATTTAAGATAATTTAACGTATGATTATTTTCATGCATAGGTTGAAAGCATTAATCAAAGGGTTTTGTTTGAGAAGCTAACACAATTGAAAGGACTCTGCTAAGATTTCTTATATTTCTCCTAGTGTTAATGGCATGTACGTTATGAAAAAAGAGAGTAAGATATTGTGTACAAACATGATATGATTTATATGTTTTGTGTCATGATAAAACATGGTAAAATGAAAAGAAAAAAGTTTTAAATTGGTCTCGTTTTCTATTTGTATAATAATCTTGTTTTGAACTCTGCACTAGTTGAACAAAATATGGTAAATAATGCATCGATGACATTAATAGTGTATGTTGTGGTGTTTCGAACAGTGTTATTGAGGACGTTCCAGAAGAGTTCATTCTTTCTCAATTAGTTGAGAAACGATTATGTTGTATCAATAAACGTTTTTTCCTACATCGATGCATAGATCTAACTCGTTCCTCATCGACTTCTTGTGTTGCATGAATCATCTCATCTAATCACTCAAAACTTTTATGTTAGGACTTGAAAATTAATGATAAAAAATAGAACCATGTCGTGTATCTTAAATTGATATCCGCTCATTGTGCTTCCTTCCTCAATCAACATTTCTCTTTTTTATCTGTATACTGTATGCACATGGTTTAAGTTAGCATCTGGTCTGAGAATAGATTGTATGAAACCAAACCAATGAAGCACATAGTCACTCGGATGACACTCAATCATTGTGTAATAGAAAAAGGCACAGTCACATGTCATACGTCCAATGAAAATCTCACCTCGGATCAAATACAAGCCCTGAATCAAGTATTTAAGTAAGGCATCCATTGGAACTACAAAATAAAAACTGTTTATATTACCAAACGTAAACTTATAAATGGGCTTCTAATTATCACAATATTAATGATAATTCCACTAATAAACATATATCTTTATTCTTGCTGTTTTTTTTTCTAGATTAGTAACTTGATATCTCAAAGTTTGTCCGAGATATCACGAATATATAAGTTTGATGACCATATGTTTAACAGGGAAAAAATATGTACATTAACATGTTAAATTTTTAGTGTAATAATGACTTATTTACTAGTCAAATAAGAAATGAAACTATCTAATTATAAAAAGAGAGACAAATGACTCGTTAGCACATGGGTATAGAAAAGACATGAGATACGACTCTCAAGACTGCAAAAGTAGTAGGCATCCACCAATAATATTTTTTCTATACTCGGTTGTCTTACACATTTCCTTAAAACGAACTCTTAAAATTATGATCTCCAACTAAACATATTTGTTTCTTTGAAATCTACAAGATAATACAACCACATTACGTAAACTTGATTACAAGATCTATCAGACATCATAACCCCTCTTTCATCTCCAACTTTCAATAAATGTATAAATAAGTGTTGTTTGTAGTTTACTATCTCTAACACCCAAGAAACGTACTCAATGAGCCCTTCCCAAGGGCTAACAAGTGTAGGAAAGGGTCACCCCCTTATCGGCAAAGACTCAAATGGACCTCTACTGTTGTTCTCTTTTCTGGGCCTATGTTGATCTAGTTTGCTATGGGCTTTTGTCTGCCTCTTGTTATTTTTTATTTTATAAACAGAGTTCCCCTTTCACGATCCAAAAAACAAAAGGGACACTAAAGGAGAAAAACTTTTTTGAAGCCAATAACTATGATAAAAAAATTATTTAAGGAAAAAATAGTAAATATATAATGACATGATTCCCGCTATTAGTACAACACTAAATAAATACAACCAGACCCTTGGGCTCCCGTGGCAACATATATTATGCCATGTTTGTTACCAAAAATAAAATAAAATAAATAAATAGCTTTAGAGCATGAGTAGTGTTATAGCGCATGACTGTTGGCTTTGATTGCCAAAAGCTGCTGTTGACCCATGTTTGCTAAACTCATGACTATTTGCTACTGTACGAGTAGTACGAGATAAATATAAAATAATATATATTAAGTGACTCTTAATTATTTGACGTTGAATGCTTATACATAAATATTTGTGATGTTCGAATTTAGTATCTCAAAAAACAATAATAATTTTTTAACTACTAAAGTTATTTGATTCATCCATTAAAATAAAAGCTTATATAAAGTAAAAGAGTGTTTTTTCTTCAACAACATCATGTGCTCCCATGATCATCTCACTTTTTATGTTCTGATTTCCCAACTTGTCTGCTTGTATTCCTTTTTTTACTTTTTTTAAAATTAAAAAAATCATTTTTAATATAAAGAATAAGTAACTGAAAAAAAAGTTCAAAATATAAAGATTTGAAGAAAATTATGTTTGATATTCCCGTAAGCGAAAACTGTGCAAACAAGGAAAACGCAAAAACAAAAAATGACACAAAGGAAATACGACATGGAAAGAACGAAGAATTGAGGTTGAAAAAGGCATTAGTTTAACTCTCTTTCTTTCCTGTAGAACTGGAACCGTCTTCACCGGAAAACACCGCATTGTACCGTTCTGTTCTCGACTCAAATCACTTACTCGAGCTCTTCGTGGCCTTCGGAAGGGCATTGGATAAGCTCTAAGATGTTTACTACTTCTTCCATGTCTGGTCTATTCGATGGCACTTGAGATGCACATATTAGGCCAAGCTTTATAACTGGAATTGCCTCTTCTGCAGGGAAGTTACTACGAAGCCTTCCGTCTATGCATTCTTCCACCCTTCGGTCTTCGAGCGCTCCCCTGATCATGTCACACAGCACCACCACATCGTCCTCCATGTATTCCACCGGCTTCTTCCCCGTTATCACCTCTAAGACCAATACACCATAGCCATACACATCGGATTTTGTGGTTATTTTCACCGTCTTGCAGGCAAATTCAGGAGCCATGTAACCTAATGCACTTTGGATTTTGCTACTTAAAACGCAGTGGTCTAGCGTTGGCAATAACCTTGCTAGGCCGAAATCTCCGACCTTGGGCTCACCAGAGCAATCTATAAGAACATTGGTCGATTTAAGGTTGTAGTGAATGATGTTCATACGATGCAAATAGGCCAGACCCTTGGCCATCCCGAGAATTACAACGAATCGCTGTTTCCAAGATAGGCAACTTCTGTCGGGCTCGTGCAGGTGCTTATATAAGCTCCCACTGGAAACGAATTCATAAATGAGGAGCTGCAACGAAGGAGTCCAGTAATATCCTTCAAGAGCTACAAGATTATGGTGCCTAATCTTTCCAAGTTTTTTAACTTCCCTTTCGAATTCGTCTCGAGACTTGACCAAACTTGAAATGGTCAGCTTCTTGATGGCAACTGAAAGACCGTCACGAAGGATTGTTCGATAAACTGTCCCGAACCCTCCACGACCAAGCTCACAATCCTTGTTAAGCAAAGCTTGGGTACCACCAACGAAGTCAGCATCCCCTGAAAACATTACAAGTTTGCCATAGTTCGGATCATTGTTGGGAGAAAAACTAAAATCTTCCCCTCCAGATAAGGTGAGAGCTACAGGAGCACGTGACATAGAAGACCGGACATGGATATTGAGTACGGTGATAGCTACTACACAAATGACAATGAATGCCGCAGCGCCAATGGCAATGAGGGCAGATATGCTGAACACAATTTTCTTTCGTTGGTGATTCGGAGAGGGGCCACCGGTGGAGCCTCGGGAGTTAGGGTTGAGGACAATGGGCTTATTATGGACTGCAGGGCAGGACCGGTTGACAACTGAACCACACAACGACGGATTTCCAGAGACGGATGAAGTAGGAATGGTGTTGAAGAAGCCCCCAAGTGGAAGTTCACCACAAAGGTGGTTGTGAGAGATATTAAAGAACACGAGTTGAGAAAGATTTGCTAGCTCTTTCGGTAAGCTTCCGGTGAGATCATTCAACGACAAGTCCACATACTCGAGGTTGCTCAAAATCGAAATGGCAGGAGGGATAGAGCCAGATAGGTTGTTCCGGGACAGATTTCTGTACCATTGCAATCAAAACCAGAACAAAATCATTAGAAGAATTCGAATGTAGAACGAGTTTTTCTCTACAAGTCCCTAGAAAGGTACAAATAGAAGAGCAAGGAAAAACTTACAAAACTATTAATGATGAACAATTCACAATCTGAACTGGAATTTTCCCTGAAAGAAAGTTCCTTTGCAACTTGAGTTTCTTGAGTGACACTGCACCCCCAATTTCAGAAGGAATGCTTCCATTCAACAAATTGGAACTCAAATCAATAACTTTGGAGGTCTTTAATCCACCAATGCTGGCCGGAATGGAACCAAAAAGACGGTTCCTGGACATGTTAAACAAGACCAAGCTGCTAAGAACACCGATGTCCGATGGGATTTCGCCATATAAAGCATTAGAAGAAAGATCCAAGACCTGAAGGCTCCCCATAAGTTTATTCCCAGAAATCCATGATGGAACATTACCTGTTAACAGATTATGGCTGACATCTATTGCTAAAAGGCTATAGCAATTGGCCATTGACTGAGGCAATGCACCAGTAAACATGTTCATTGACAGATTTAATTCCCTGAGTAACTGCAGATTTCCCAGAGAAAATGGAATTCCACCAGAGAGATTATTTGCAGAAAGATCCAGACTCTCGAGGCTTCTCAATTCTCCAATCCAATCAGGGACTTGTCCCCTCAAAGAGTTTCCTCGTAAACCGATTGAACTACATGAACCAAGCCTCCTCATTGAATCAGGAAGATCACCATGAAAATAATTATCACTAAAATCAACCGATTTCAAATGTGAACAGTTTCCAATATCACCTGGAATCCTCCCTGAGAATCTGTTGTTTCTTAAATCTATCAGTCTCAAATCATACAAATTGCTCATCCCATCAGGCATTTCCCCTTCCAACAAATTACCAGATATATCAAACGATTGAAGGCTCCTCAAATACCAAATCCCAGATGGCAACCGCCCCGAAATTCGATTAGACGAGAAGTTAGCCTCCACAAGTTTCGAACATGAGCTCAAAGAACCAGGAAGCTGCCCTGTGAGATTGTTTCTCGCAAAAGAAACCGACCTTAGAGACCCACATTGTGCAAAGAACTCATCGGGGATCGATCCCGATAAGCAGTTCTCTCTTAAATCAATCACCCGCAAGCTTCCAATGTGAGAAAGCTCGGAGTTTACTGTGCCCGTGAGGTTGTTTTTGGAAAGTGACAAAATTTGAAGGAACTGTAACCGCAATAAGCCACGACCGACGTGACCCGAAAGAGCTAAGCCATCGAGGTGGAGCTCCGTGACCCGGTAAGTCGTCGGGTCACATTTAACGCCCAACCAGTTGCAGGGATCATTGTCGTCGGAACTCCAAGATTGGAGCTTTGCATTTGGGTCACTGAGCCCTGCTTTGAAGAAGATTAAACCCAGAACGTCGTCGTTGAAAGCTGGCTGTTGAGAGTTTACCACAACTGAAACCAGAACAATAAAAGCTGTAACCTTTAACACCATTTTCTCCCCCACTTCAGCTCAATCAAACAATAAAAAGGAAAAGCTAAGCCCCCATGGTATAGATACTATAAATATCTGTGTTTGAGCAGTTAACAGGGGAGAGACAAACAAGATATGTAATGAAGAAGCTGATTTTGGACATATATAAAACAAAAACAGGGTTGGGGTCAGAAAAGAAAGATTCAAAACCCCCGAAGCAAAATCTGATGAGGGAATTCTTTCAACCTCAGGGAAAATGAGAAGGAAGAAGACCGAAACAGTGAGAGGTGAGGTATAAAGGTGGCGATGGGGAGGAAATAAAGAGCGGGAGTGGAAGGAAATGAATAACAATTAATGATGCAAATAAGTGTTGATTGTGGTTGGTGTGTGTGTGTCGCTTTAATTACAAGAATGAGTAAAGCAGGGGACAGCATCAAAAGTTAGATTTTGCTTATAAATGTAACTCTTAATTTTAGACAGGTATAATGAATATCGTTAATGCTAGATAAGTATAAATAGAGTGGTTGTGTTTATATCGTAGGTGTACGTTGATGGTTAATTAATTAAAAAATAATTTTGTTAGTTTATAATATTTTGAAAAGAATGGTTTATATTGATATTGAAAAAATTAATTTATTGATTAAAATATAATGAATATTGTCTATTAGAACACCTGACGATTGAAAAATAAAATAATTGTGATCTTGGCCGATTGTAATAAAAATATTAATGAAGTTTCCATCGACTTTTCGAAAACGTCTGGTACTCTAATCAATCTTTTCATACGATGTTCATTTTATTTTAATTGATAAAATATTTTTTTCAATACTAATAAAATATTTATTAATCTAGCACTTTTGCCTCCATTGAAGATTTGATTGTGGGATTACGTATTCTGTCAAACAAGGATCCTAAAGCATTCTACACGTGGCACCTTTCATTTACTTCACCATCTGACATGGTCACTTGACTGTCGCCATGAGTTTCATGGATGCTGTTTAAATTTGTCGTTTAAAATAAGTGTTAAATCATGATTTTAGTTTTTAATGCTTGAAAAAGCAGAAGCACCTCAAGAGGTCGTACTATAAGTCTATAATAATGTATTCTGCAATTATATTTGTAGTTGCAAACGAAAAAATTCAAAAATTAAGTGATTTTAATGGTTAAAGATATAATTATTTTTTTAAAGTTTTAAGTTTGAACATCAGTGATTATATAACATTTAAATATTTATTATCAAATGGTAGAGAACTTTTAAAACAGATACTATCGCTTGTAATCAACACCAACAACGATAAGGTATTTAAGTATTTATTATTAAATGATTAAAGTATTTAGAACATAAAATTTACATGATTTTAAAGTCTTTGTCCATTTCACTTCATTTTGTTTTTTAAGATAAACTATATGTTCAATATTTAAATTATTATTTTTATTATATTTTAATACCTAAATTTTTAATTTTTTTAAATCATGTAGTTTAGGTGTATAAAGAAGGAAATTTAATAATTAGAATAGGTGAGAAAGCAGTAAGAGTGACAGCAAAACGACGACATCTGCCTTACCCTTTCTACTTTGTTTCTCTCACAACCAACAATAATACGCATCTAATATTTGGTTTTTACATACATGCAACAAAAATAAATGTATACTACAAGTTTGGATAAAAATTGAAAATTTTAATGTTGATGTCGAAATTTCACTTTGAATTTTAGTATCGTTGATGGAACCAATTGAATTATGAGAGACATGCACATAAGAAATTTGTGAATTAATCAATGAATTAAATATTAATAATTATAAAAAAATAGAATTGCATGTTTATAAGAAAAATGAAATTAGAATTTGGATTTTAAGCTGAAATCTTAGTGGTAGTGTTGTATTGTGCTCCTTAATTTGGATGTAAAGGTCGGATAGTGTTATGCATTTGACATACGTATAACTAGATTTTTTTTATAAAAAAATAAAGTTTTTCATATATTTAACTATCTTTGGAGATTATATCTATACATTCAAGTGTTGGACATAATTATTGAACAAAAATACTTTATGAAAAAAGGGGAGAGTTAGATGTCTAGGCATGCATGCATGTGGCATAATCAATGTTAATTGACATGGGAGCCTTGATTGTCAAGGAATCACATCTTTTAGGAGTGACACAATACAAATACAATGTACTTGATCACGCCTCATAAATTGGCATGAATGTGTATGTCCTCATCATACTGACCAGGGTGAAGTGTTTGTTATTTTTTTTTTTCGTCTCATCATAAAATGTACGCGATTAGCCTTGGCCCCCAGGCCTGGCCTTAAACAGACCGAACCAAATGACTCCAGCTTTAATCAAGGAGTATGCAATCACATTACAAGATCTCAGAAAAAAATATGAGAAAAACGACCTTTCTAAACCCTTACATCCGATCATCACGAAATCACCAGGGCAGAATCATACTCCACCATCGAAACTTACCTCATTCTTCCATCGAGATGCCAAAAATAGCTCCAGAGCTATCTTAGCAAGCATATAACTCGGCACATTCAGCATTCACCATGGCAAGAGGACCTGAGAGAAATTGAAAGTATAAATCATTTTGCTTTACTGTGTTTAGTTCGGGATGGATACTCATGTATGTATGTGCAGACATAGCTTAGGGAAGATGGTTGAACCTTGAAACAATCAGAAAGTTTTCCATATAACATATCTTTGAGAGCTGCCAATATCAAGAAACTCATATTTCAATAAAACTGCATATCATATTACTCTCACCCCAAAAAGTAGCAGGTTTTAAGTATTGGATTATAAGCACAACCACTACACTTACACTAATATATCTATTCAAAAATACTTCACATGGAAATGTAAAAAAATCATTTGAAGTCATAATTGACTCAGGATGGAGGAAGCAAAAATACTTGCTACAGACATATACGAACAACTCCCTATCCCCAAAACACTACAAGGTGCAAGCAAAAGCAAGTTCAAACATCCACAGAAGTAAACGGCCCAGAAGAGATAGCACCTACAAACTCAACAGCTTCAGTATCAATATTACCAGATACTATTAAATAAAATAAATGGAAAAAAATTGCACCACTCCCATCTTGATCACCAACTATCTCTGCAACAGATACAACCACAACAACTGTGTTAGAGCTCAAATGATCTAATGCTTAATAACAAAACAGTAAGAAGCATTCTGCAAGGAGTAAAGTACATCCCTTCTAGCCCAATACAGGTCAGTATTCTCTGCAAGTCTTCCAATTTAACCAGCCCTGACAAAGATGGGGTTAACTCGCTAATTGCTTCAGCACCTAAGTTTGTAACACTCAAGTTTCCAGCTCTGAAATGTCCAGATAGAAAAATTCATAAGAATTTTGAACAAGTAGCTAATATATTAAACAAAATAGAAGGCCCTCATAAAAACCATTAAAGAAAAAGTCTGAATAATAAGATTGCTTTATACAAAACACATCATAGCCAGAACTGTTCTTTCAATTTCCTTTCAGGGAGACAGATACAAATACAATAGGACAGCAAATTAACCAACATACGAACTTGATTGCGCTTAAAAATATTCACCCTAAGATTGCTGCATGCTTCAAATTTAACTACAAGAAGTCTACATGGAATAACACTGTTTAAACATAATAAGAAAATGGATTTTCTTTAACAGAATCAGTAAATAGAAAACAAAGTTTTTACCAGTTCCTCTGCTGCTCACCCGTCCCTTTGGCCCTTTGGCATTTTCTTTGATACAGCATCTTTGAAGTCCTTCATCTGGTAGTAATGTGGGGCTATTTCAACCAACCATTCCGGTTTCAGCTAAGTTACATTTCTCATATATTCCTTGGTGGTAAGAACCAGTTCATGGTATACCACCCATCTCGGGGACTCCTGTGCCAAGCCTGAGCTTGGATGTATATAGGCAGTCTGTGGACACTTCATAGTCCGGTAAGAACCAAATTTATGCAACCTAGCCGAATGAGGGAAAAATCCAGCTGTAATGCATTTCTTTATAGCCTCTAAATCATTAGCACCGCATGTTAGTTCAATTTCAACTCTCTCCAAAATACCCTCTAATTGATCCCTGATGTCTCTTGCACGTTTCATGCTCCTGGCTTGAATATAATTTTCATAACACCACTGTGTTGAGTAATTTGTTTCCCTCCAGGCATTGTACATTCATTAAAGCTATAAGGTCACCCACTTTGCCAGTATGAAATTCTTCCTTGCATTATCAGCATGAACTTGTTTGTCCTTTGGACGGTAAAAGATAGAATTGCCTACAGAGAGCATAGCAGCAATGGAAATAACCTCATATGAACACTTGTACTTGTCGGAAGCAACTATCATTTTGGATAGCATTGGATCAAGAGGGAACTCTGCCATTCGTCTACCAACTTTAGTCAACTCTGCAACTTTATTTAATGCAGTCAATGCAAACAGAAGGTCAAATGCTCTTAGTAGAGCCTCAACTGTTGGTGGATCCATAAAATCAAAATTTTTCAAATCATGAACTCCAAGACTCTTCAAAGAAAGAATAACACTAGCAAGGTTAGTCCGTAGTATCTCTGGCATGGTATTGTCATCAAGATTTGTATAGTTGAATTCAGTGTACAATCGGAAACACTTACCTGGACTTGTTCGCCCAGACCGGCCAGCACGTTGCTTAGCTGAAGCTTTAGATATAGGAGTTACTTTCAAAGACTCCATCCCAGTCCTCGGATTATAAGATTTCATCTTGCAGAAACCTGGATCAATGACATACTTAATGCCATCAACGGTTAATGATGCTTCAGCAATATTTGTTGCTAGGACTATCTTGCGTGCACCAGCAGGAGTAGGTTTAAATATTTTGGCTTGAAGCTCAGTAGGAAGATTCGCAAATATAGGGCAGATAATAAGGTCTGCAATTTTTGTCCCAAAACCTCTTACCTATGCTTCAAAATTTCTTCCGTTGTCTCAATTTCTTCTTGACCAGTGAGAAAAACCAAAATATCTCCAGGTGGCTGACTCACAT